ATCTGCAGGCGCATGCGCTTGTCCACGCCCCTAGGAAACGGAACATGTGTGAGAAAGTGTAGGAGAGGGCATATGCAGTGCTTCGCCGCTACTTCTCTCGCCCGTTCGCTCTCTCTCCTCCCTGTGCCCCACTTTTCCGTCTGCTTGCGCCTCACTCAAGCGTTCGCTGGCTGGGCGCCTTTCAAGAACATCGGGAAATGTGTGCCCGAGACGCCGCTGTGAAACGCCAACGCCGAGCCGAGAACGCTGTTTGTTTTGTTCACCCCATAGTACTTTTTAACCGTGCATTTTATACTCGGCGACAACTTTTCTTGGCGCTGAAAGGAAAGCTACGAGGTGGAGATTCTGCACATGTAGCACTACGTGAAGTAGTCCGTTTTGGCGCGCGTCTCGTAACGCTATGAAAAGTGACAGAGGCGCGCCATCAGCGTTTCATGTTGAGGCAGACACCGCTTAGCGTCTGAGGTGCGCGTAGAAAGGCACCACTTCTTCGCGTGTTCAAAAATGCAAAGTCACAACGAATGAATGTAGGTAAATACGACTATGTTAACGGTGGGAGCTGCGTCCTGTCTCAAATAGCTTCATGTAAAAAGTAAAAGGGGAACTTCTACATTTCACGGTGAATATATGGGAGCTGCTGTTGAACTAAATTCACTGACAATAGAATTGCCGCGCGACTTCGCTTTGTAGCCTTCGCTCCAATGTTAAGAAAAGTTGTCGCCGAGTATAGCTACTAGAGCTGGAAACGCATACCGCGTTTCTCGCGACAGAAAAACGCCTTGTTGGGTGAACGGATCTGTTCGCTGCTTGATGTGAAAGAAAAAGAAAACATTATTTTTCTAACGCTGGGTTCTCACGTGTGGAACGCTGTTATGGACGCTACACAATGCATTTGAATTTCCTCACGAGTCCCGTCGGGCAGGTGGGGGCATTTTCTTAAATGACCATGTACCTGGCCACTCCTTGCCAGGAACTATTTGTACAAGGAAGCACTTGTTCGGTCACGGCAGTTATTCGTGTTTTCTCATGCACATTTATTTCCTTTTTGAGACAGCATTTAACTGCAGATTGCATATTTGTCACTCCTTGGATTTTTCAGAATCTATGAAAGCCACCTGTGCGCCAACGCCGCCCGAAAATTCGCCTGAAACATCCTTGGCCTCTCATTCTTCAGAATGAGTCTACGTATTTGTGAAACCTACTTTTGAACCTCGCCGTTGCAATTAATTTAGGAATGTTTAAAGAGCCTCAATTTAAGTCCCCCCAGAGTTGAACTTTTGCTACCTACATTGGAACCTGCATGTGTCACTTTTATTGCCTTGAATATTTAACATTTTGAGTTTTGCTAGAGTGACTAGCCTGAAAATATGTGTCAAGCTGCATATTGTGTGACCATCTTAGAAATGAACTGTGGAGAACAGTGGCTTGGTGTAGACATGGACACCTGACATAATCAATGTGCGCAACCTAAGTACGTTCGGTAGATTTCAGTTGAGTCCGTAGGTTTTAAGTCTAGTGCATTTAAAAATTGCTAGTTGAATAACGTAGCATTACTCGAAAGTGTTCACGTTGCATGGTAACGCAGTCTACAGAAGAAGTTGTGTAGTTGGGTAAAGCTCTTTTCTAATCAGCTCATTATGGAATGGAAGAACGGCTTTTATGGAGTATAATATAAAGTGCGGTCGTGTGGTCGACATTTTGTAAGCTGAAGCTGCTTTAAAGAAAAAAGAAGGAAGCTGCTTGAAGAACGTAAAAAAGGTGCGCTTTTCAGGTAACTTATGACTGACCATTCGTCGAACAATAGCCGTAACGTTGTGCACGATATTTGGACCGGCGAAGGTCCGGTTGTGGTAATTGTAAAGATGCATCTTGAATGTATCATACCCATGTACGCCGAAAACTATGAGGCTTTAGGAGACCCACGACTTGGAAGTTTTGCAGGCCGCAGTGAACTCCAAGAACATAACTTGAAGCTAGTGTGTTTCAGTCATTCTGAAGTAAATGCAGGCAGCAATGTAGAAGCTGAAGTGTACCATGATCGAAAATCGCCACTTGCGCTACCCGAAATAACAGAATCTACTGAAATGTGTGGCGTATCTGAAGTAGAGCGCTGTTCGCCTGTGCGTCGTCCAGAATGCGTCATTCCATTTCTATCGGCAGAATTTTCGCTAGAACTTTCACCAACTAGTACCGAAAAGCGGTCACCTGATGTCCCGTTCCGACAATCCACTGGCTCCACGTTTGAGAGCAGCCATACGTGTAGGAAAGAAGCTCATCTTAGGGATGCTCAAAAAGAATCGATCGTAGAGAGTCGTTTCTTCGCGCTGCCTATTGATGTTCCTAAGCTTCAGGGGCCAAGCTCCACTGGCAGTAAACAAACACAAGAGCGTCAAAGTAATCCGCCAACCGATTGGACAGTGCTCGGCAATGAACACACTCCCATTACGCAGCATAGCAGTGGTGTCATCTCATGGCGCAGCCATGTCGATGTCATTTTTACGAGTGAGACGGGGCGAAGCTTGCCACGTGGACAGGACCTGTGGCCTGGACGTATAATACCGCTCACACGTGTGACTGAAGAGAAACTGCAAGACCCCCGCCTTGTGCGTCCAGCCTTACGAGACTGTGGCAATGGCCCGTTTGTTTTGAGACCACTTGACTCTGCAGGAGGCCAGCGTGATAGCAACACCAATAGGAAAGAGTTGAGCAGAGACAGAAATTTCTCTTTTTCACCGCAAAACGAGGCGCCGGCTGTCACTAGCATCTCTTGCTATGAACACAGTGATGAAGGTGCCGGGGCTGTGTCCGTCCGAAACAACTACACAGAAAATATTGCTTGTGTCAACCGTGAATCTCAGGAAAAACGGAACACCAGAAAAACTGCCAAAGACAGACTCTGGGCCCTCTCAGTCACAAATTGAAGAATGGCTGGCTGCAAACAGCAGGCTCTGGAACCACAGTTTTGCGCACTCGCCTCAACCATCGCCGGTGTCGCCACAATCAGTCTATTCCCCAAGCTCTGGGATGTCACCATTATTTTCGCCAGATGTTTTCTTGCCACCATCTCAAATGTCTTCAATTGGGAGACAACTACCGGAGCAATTGAATTGCACTGCAACTAACGTAGAGGCATCACCTGACAAAGAGAGGGAAAAAGCACTATGCGAACACAACAGACAAGCACACCGTCTTGAGAAATGCTCTGAAACAGCGCCACATAAGCCTGACCCGCCACAAGCAATGAATCATGGCTATGTTGCCCCTTCTCTGGCAACTTATTGGTTTCCACTGCAACCAGTGTGGCCGCAAATGCAACCAGCACAGCAATCTTTGTGTGATGCGGTAACTCAACTACCATCGTCGTCTCGAGCACCATCATTGGTACAAGTGTCTTCTGCTGAAGTTTCCACAAAGCCATCTTCATTAGACACTCAGCAAGATAGCCCACTGGCACTGCAACCAGGGTGTCATTCAGCACAACCCCAGTTTTTGCTGTCACGGCATGAACAAGTGTCCCTATCTAGGTCGACGCCTCGCCAGCTTCCAGAAGAGCAGGCTTTTCCATCCGTGTGTTCGCTGGCACAAGTTGCTCCTTCCCAGCTACAGCCACCGCCATATTATGGGCCTGTTCGACTTGAGTCACCAGCAGATAATACATGCGCAGTACCAGAAGCTGTACAAATGAAAGGTGTAGGCCCAGAAATTCAGCGAGAAACAGGCGTATCTATGGAAGTGCATGCGCCCCAAGCAGAGGAATGCTGTTATGGATGTGCAGAAGTGCCACCAGAAGGGGGATCAGCGTTTGAATTAGAAAGTACACTGCGAGAAGCGCCATCATATTATGAGCAAATACAGTGGCAATCAAACCTACAACTTCACTCATCACCAGCTACACACTGTGGTCATCCCTCAGGATATTCGCAAGTTGAAGCTCAGGTAGAGTGGAATTGTGCAACCCAGTTGGATTGCGTAACCCAGTCTTACTTGGGCAAGAACAATCATATGAACAGCAATATGAAAATGTACAAACTGAGATATCCGAAGCTGCGTCACAAGATGTACATAACACTTATTCATCTATCCAACAAGAAAAGTACTCAAACAGTGATCCATATTGGCAACAGGATTCTGAATCATGTTTTCAACAGCCAGTACCAACCGGACATTCAGAAATCAAAACTGGCATTGGCTCATGGAGTGCCTCTCTGCAACAGGACATTCCATACAATTCTACTGAGATGTCCGAACAACCTCAGTCAGAATATGATGTGCATGAGCCGTGGCAAGAACATAACTGTGTGCATACAGAGACACATAGAGAAAAACTGTTTGAACACACTCCATCGGAACAAAATCCGCAACACGAAAGCTTGCATACGTGTTCACGCAATGCGGCAATTCCTTCATCATCTCAAATCGAAGGGCTCACATATCCCCGCGTGCAACTTAATCCGCTGTCGCTAGGTACTTCCAGGGCAACGTGCTCGGAAGCATACCTATCTGGTAACTCTCCCATGCAATGCCAAGATGTTTCCGCTCCTTATGTGAGCATGACACATTCAAGGAAGCCTCATTTCTTGCCGACCATCATGTCAACTGAAGAGGCGGTAAAGAGAACGGTTTCACAAGATCCGTCTACAGCGTCATCTACAGCTGATGGAATGCAGTGGCCGTCATCATCTGGAATCAATTGTTTCCAACCGTGCTCATTACCGCAGCAAACGCTGTGTTGGCCAACGCAAGTGATGTACGCAGCTGCAGCCGTGCAACCACAGGTACAAATCATTTCATCACCACAGTTAACTACATCTTCCTCTGGCTACGTAACTGCCCCACAGGGTTCATTTTGGCAACTTCATGCGACGAACTGCCTGAGCCAGCAGTCATCCTTGTGGGAGAACGCTCTAGGCACGACGTTTTTACCAGCTTTTGGAAGACAACCCGATGGAGCAGCCTTCTTTCAGTTACCGGTGTCACACCCACAGTGTACGGTCGTCCCTATGCCGCCGTTGCCGACAGACTCGCCACCCAGCCAACCACCTCCACCTTCTGTGCCTCCGCCACCAATGTCGCCGCCGCCTGTCCAACCTCCGCCACCCACTTCGCCGCCGCCGAACTCTGAGAAGCATCGACGGCCCCCACGGCCATCTCCTACCTCATCGCAGCGCTCGGAGTCATCAGGTTCTTCGCTACAACAGCCAGTCAAGCAAGAAAAATCTCATTCCGGAAGTGATTTGTCTGATCAGTCTGCACGCTCCAAGTACCCGATTTGGCCGCCTGTCTATACAAGATACAACTCAGAGCAATACCAGGGTCGCAATCGCAGTTCGACTAGGTCTTTCAAAAATTCGAAGACCACCCGTTAGTTTCCATTTCAAGATCAGGCCTTTTGGCTGATGCTATTGTGATAACGAAATGAATAACCCTGTCAGTTCTTATTACGGCCAAGAGAACTGCCATGATTTGAGACGAACCACTCGCTGAACACCTATGCTTAATGCTGCGTTGAACCTCTTTGTTAAATGACATGCTGATTTCATAGATCACTTTGTCTTCGAACGTTAATTTTCAACAATGTAACTTTTTTGTGGACGCACTTGTTGGCAGAGCTTGTCAGTTTCTGTTGTATACTTTATTCACTACTGTGATGAGCTGTCTTCTGAAAGAGATGTATTCCTTGTGAATAACAATGTACGATTTCAACAGAATTTATTCAACTGTCGTGTGCTTCACAACCGTTTCAGTATTGCTTGTTTCTTTCGTGAAAATCACACTAGCTTGACCTGCGGTCAGTTAATGAAGGTGAAAAATGTTGCCTTTTCGTTGAGTATCACAATGTCATGCGTCTGTTCTCTCGTTGATTCGGAACAGCTTTGTAGAGTGGCTAATCTCGCCATTATTTTTAGGCGTTCATGTAGACTGATGTTAGAGCCTTGCACGGTAATTTTTTTAAGCAAGGCCACCTCGAAAAAACAGTCGTGAAGCACATTTTCTTTTTCTGGGGTCAGTGTCTCTACCTGCGTTTCCTGATAGAAATACTCTCTTTTTCTTTGAATTTGTGTATGTGCTTGTTTTTTTTTTTTGGCATTATCATTGCCGTAAAAACTGCTGTTGGCTCGTCTTTCAGGTGCTGTCTTTTTCGTTCATTTTTGTACGTTTGTCAGGTGTTGACGATGTTCCTAGTTGTCAAATATTTGAGATGAATGAATGTTTGCGTATGTATAGTTGACTTTCACTCATCTTTGTCGCATAGAGCCTCATAGATATATCGACACGGGAAAGCGCTAGTATTTTAAGATAGGCCACGTAGATCATGCATAGTATTCTCTAGTCATTAATTATAAAGTTTGTTTGTACTCGTGCCCAATGCTATGATCGTAAACATTTGATGCTATTTGTTGTACCACAAGACTATAATTTGGTTTGTTTCCTGAAACAAAAGCGAAGCAACATTAACTGACTATTATGTTTGCGATATAGCACGAATAAACACATCCGCATTGACATATAAGTGACGTTTACTGGTTGTCGCACATTATCGATTATTGTGATACTTTGAATTATGCTGTTAGAGTGGCTTATTTATTGCGTTGTCACTGTGTATGCCTACATATCCGATTTCACTATTCCATTTGTGAATATTCCATCTTGGGCAACAGTTGGTTGAGCAATTTTTGTATCGCTAGTGGTCTCGGCATAGGTGAATGCTGACGGCTTGTAAAATAAATACATGTTTTTGTCTTTTTGTGTGTCTCTGAGTACTTGTATAAAGATTGCGCAATGTTCGCATCTCCGAGCAAATTTTCTAATGCTAAGAATAAAAACTCCCGTGTTCCGAGACCTGCGCTAAAAAATGCTTCCGAAGGCGTCAAGAGAGGTTAGTTTGTCTGGCGTGTGCAAATGTTCTCGCAGACTCCCGCCGGGATGAAATTTGGTTTGTCCATCGTAGAGCCCTGGAACTCTGGAGACATGCCGACGTTGTGGCGCGTTTTCATGCCCTAAAGAGAGCAATAGTATAATTTGTGGTCACTGTAGCAAATGGGCATCTGTCTGACATGGTGCTTCTATTGCTACCCTCACTGAGGCCACATTTAAAACGTTTTTCAAGACGTGTTCATCTCACTTTTCATATATGTTTGTTCTTGCAATAGATTCTCAGTTGTTAGTATGCGCTGTGTTTAGTCTGCGTGTTTTTGTGCTATCGTTTTCCTGGCAGATGATTTTCCTGGAAGATGATTTATCAACTCAACCAGCAGTCCATGCTCAAGCTGCTGAAACCTCATAGTTTTGTTTTTCGTGCCGTTTTTCGGGATTGTTTCATGTTGGTGCAGCCGTTTATCTTTAAGCTTAACGCCATTGCATTAAAGCTGTGATATTACGATGATGGAGTTGGCGTCGTCTGTTGCTGGGAGTTGACCCTTACTCGGGCACTAATGACAAATGGAACTCGATGGTCCTGGTCGAAGTGCAGTATTATATAGGATACATGTAATAGCGGAATATGTCTCCGCAGTGCAATACTGACACGAAAAATTTGTTCTTTGTTGCGTTAAAGGCAAGGTCAAGTATTCAAGAACATACAACATGTATGCATAAGCTCCAGTGGACCTTCACAAGAAAAATACGGTATTTAAAAGTTAGTTTTAGTTGGCACCGTTCCCTCACGCCAAAACTCGGTATAGGTCTGTCGTCACATGCTCGTGCAAGGTGCTCACATTTCCATTGCCGCTGTATTCCTCACTCCGTTCGGGACTCTATGGGGTCAGTCTTTTGGCTGACATATATGTCATTTGTTGACGTACAAGTGGTCAGTTGCATTTTTGTTCTGCTCGACGTCATGCGAATTACCTATACTTGTGCTTGACATCACCAGAATTGACACTAGCCTGACCTTGCACCAGCTGCTAATGTCACTGGGTGCGCTATGCGAAAATGAATTGGAGTTGGCAAGTCAACTAGAAAAAAAAAACCAAAAAGTTTGGAACCTACCCAAAATGGAGCCAACTTAAGCCGAGGGTGCCAAAAGCCAAACATAGCAGCGTGTATGAGAAAACAGTGCGAACTTAGTATTTCCGTCAATAAATGAATGCAGAAGCCTTTGGGCGCCGAAAATGTTCATAAGTACGTCTTTAACACTTACGAAACCGATTCGCGGAGATTCAAGCCAAATTGTTTACTTTAGTATTTCGAGCTGGAAAAATTGCCAACAGTGCCCATGCATTCGACATGATATTTTTTGGAAAGACCAAAAATAATGACAATAAAAATGATTTTATGGCATGAGTGTGCTCACTATCGCATTTCTGGCAATAAAGCATAAGTTGTAGTCGCTGTAACAATCGTTTCTTGCTTGATAACGAAGTCGGAGCAGCTATTATTCTAGAGTCACAGTCCGTACTTATTTATACTAATAAGAAATTGCACAGTCAGTTTGTCGTAAGTCTAATTTCAGTTGTCGCCGAGTGCAGAACAACCAGGATTTCAGGCACTTTTGTTTGTTTGGCGACGTCAGTATTAAATATGGTTTAAACTAGAGTTCAGGGAAAGGTACCTCGCAGAATGAGAGTGATGCAATTTTGTTTCCCCGAGTCCATTCCGCGTAGTTAAAAGCCATATGGTTTCAACGCGCGAAGCCTACTGAACTTACAGGATATAATGATTGATATGTGGGGTTTAACGTCCCCAAACCACCATATGATTATGAGAGATGCCGTAGCAGAGGGCTCCGGAAATTTCGACCAGCTGGGGTTCTTTAACGTGCACCCAAATCTGAGCACATGGGCCTACAACATTTCCGCCTCTGACAGGATATAAACGCGTAGGTGTTTTAATATATATTCCTAGCATTGACCATACCCTGCTTAACAACCATTTTCGTTAAAGGCTATTCTCTGTGTACTGCTTGTGCGATATTTAATTTTGTAGATCGAAACACGCTTTAGCCGCCATATTTAGAGCCTACATACTCGAAAGCGAGTGGCTTCGACGTCACCAGATATTGATAAATTGGCTTAAACCATGCGAACAAAAAGTATCCAGCAAGTATCCATGCAGACAAGGCGTTTTGTCTGCCGCCACCGGCCGGAAAAGGTAGCCGAATAGGCTGAATCTAGTCAAACCTGGCAACCCTGAAATTATTCACTGTCTAGTATTTAATCGGTGCTACACTTGCGCATAGCCGTGTAAGTATGTAAGATACTTATATAAAGAGTCAACTTTCAGTCCCCAAACTCATGTCAGGACGCCTTTTGAGATACAGGACAATTACCTGTTCCCCGCCGCGGTGGTCTAGTGGTTAAGGTACTCGGCTGCTGACCCGCAGGGCGCGGGTTCGAATCCCGGCTGCGGCGGCTGCGTTTCCGATGGAGGCGGAAATGTTGTAGGCCCGTGTGCTCAGATTTGGGTGCACGTTAAAGAACCCCAGGTGGTGTAAATTTCCGGAGCCCTCCACTACGGCGTCTCTCATAATCATATAGTGGTTTTGGGACGTTAAACCCCACATATCATATCAAAAATTACCTGTTAGGCTAGTTAATGAAAATGAAATAATTGCACTCAAAGAGCAGATGCTTTTCTTGCGAATAGCTGAAATTGCAATGACGCCTTGTGGAGCAGGTCTGAACCTTGCGCATCTTTCTGCGTCGTTTCCGAGATCCACTTCGGCAGCACCCAGCACAAAATTAACACAAGGAATACATCAAACGCGAGTGAGGGTGCCTCTCTTAGACACCCAATTGAAGGATTAAGGTCGCGTCCAGCTTTATCAAGGTTAATAGTCTTCCTCGGGATACTTCCACGCAAAAATTTCGGTCTGTCTGGCACCTTTATGCCTGTCTGTCACACGGTTTGGCCACCCGGCCAGAGCTTAAGCACATGCTGAACGCCCAGCCATCTTGAACACAAGTATTACCAATGCCTCCTAGAAAAATTATGCCTGGAACGTGAGCCGCGAACATGTCGCCCTACCCTCGGATTTTAACCTCCCCCTCCGGTACGAAGGCGAACGCCTTTGGTGGTCGCCCCCTGCGAACACAGCAGTGCTCTCACAGTTGCCTCCGAGCAGCTGTGATGTCAAGTGACAGTGGTACTATAATGTCACGTGACATAACGGTACGGAGACGAGCATTTCCACGCGGCGGACGGTCGCTACACGCGGCAGGAGGCATGACCTCCGAGATTTTGAACTGGCAGGAAGCTCCCAATTGAAAAGAGAGCGATGTTCCAGGCATAGTTTTTCTTGGAGGCGTTGATATTACGCATATCTGAGGCGCAGTATGAACACGTAAGTATTAGGTAGTGTGTTCCTTTACTATGAAATACATACGTGATTTCCAAGGCCCTAGTGTTCGTTACAGTATCCTCAAAA